TGTGTGTGTGTGTGTGTGTGTGTGTGTGTGTGTGTGTGCGCGCGCGCGCACAATCTTCAAAACAAAGGAAATCATATTAGTACTGAGATGTACTGTTAAAAAATGACACAAAATACATCTTTCTTCAATCAAAGGATTAGTCTCTATACCAGCAATGCTCAACCTTCTTATCCTCAAGGCACTCCTGCATAACTTTTCTGAATTTTATAGGACCACCACTGAAAAAAAAAAAATCACTGAGATAGATCTAAATTCCAAAAAGATAGAGGGGGACCTTGAGGAAAAAAAAACATTGAGAAGCACTGGTCTAGCTGGTGCCACTTAGGGGTGATTGGCGCAGACCTCACACTGCTGTGCCTTGCTCTTTCTGCTGTCTACCCCCTACCCCTTCTCACTTCCTGGTCTGTACCTTAGGGGTCAAAGGCAGTCCGTGCTACTGAGGTTGCTTCTCCAGGGTCCCACATGTTGGCAACCATCCCCATGGCCCCTTGTACCAACGCCAGGAGCATGGGTGGAGTGGAGCAGATGAGCTGCATAGTCTGTATCCACCTGGCCATGCATTCCTGAGAGTTGGGGAGAAGGCAGCACAGGGGCTGCCTGGGGGCAAGAAAGGGTAGGGGGAGGTAGTAGCAACAGCTCCAGTCCTCAGAGGAGCAGTCACAGGCACCACTAGAGTAGCTAGGGCAGGTGCAGAGTGACAGACAGGGGAAGAGAGCATTTACCCCCTTACACAGGAGAATCTCAGGGCACACTTCCATTCCTCTTGCAGCATGTTAGTGTGCTGCTGCACTCCTTTGGGAAATCACTGGAATAAATTGTCATGTGCTGGTTGAAATCCATGGCATTTAAAATAGGACTGCAAGTAAAAGGAGACAGAGAAGTCAGGAAGACAAGAGGAGGAGCAGGAAGAGGGTACCAGGAAGACTATTATTGGAAGTAACTTTGAATAGAAGAAAAAAGACTTACACCTTAGGTATGAATTTCAGGATTAGAGAGAGATGAAGGGGAACTAAAATGGGACTGGGCCTCTTTCAAAACAGGAAATTTTGAACCAAGAATACTTGCAGGCATCTAGTCTCAGGTAAGGGTCTGTCTTAGTTGAACAGTGGGCGTGTCTACATGAGATGTTTTACTTGAGATTAGAGCAAATTACTGCACAGCAAGTGTCACTGTCTACACATGTAGATGCTTACTTCACAGTAATTTGTTCTAATTGCCAGTACATTTGCTACCTGTAAACACAAGTGGCAAATTTACTCCCAATTACTGCTCAGTAGTGCATGTGTAGAAGCCCGACTGGGAGCAAATGTGCTCCTGGTTAGCTGGGCAGCAGGGGGAGGGAAATTGCTCCTTGCCCCCAGGAGCTGCCTGCTGCTGGGCAGGCTCTGCCACTGGAGCTCGGGTGGGGACGATGTCTCCCTGCCTTGGCAGCAGGGAGCTCCCCACCCCCACTTTGTGATCATGATCAGAGAGCAGGGGCTGAGAGATTCTTAACTCCCAGCCCTAGCTCTGTGGTCTTGGGGCCTGGGCTAGGAGATTCTGATAAGAATTTCCAACCCAGGCCCCATGACTGTGAAGCCAGTGCTGGAAGATAAGACTCTCCCATCCCCAGCTCTGCAACTGTAATCATGGAGTGGGGGCTGGGACCTCCCTGCTGCCAGGGCAGGGGGGGACATTGTCTTTGCCCAGGCTTCTGTGGCAGAGTCTACCCAGGCAGCAGGCAGTTCCCTGGGGCAGGGAGCAATGTCTCAGCCCTTTCCAGGAGACAGCTGTCTCTTAGCCCTGTGCTCCCTGCCAGCCCCTGTGCTAGCAACCAGGGGATCCTGCAGTTCCCCTAGCTGCTGCAGGGGACCAGTACAGGGCCGGCGAGGGTGGGAGCAAACTGCTGCCATGAGCAGCAAATCTGCTCCTGCTTCCTTGCACATATAGATGCATGCCTTGGGTGGGTTTCCTCTAGAGTAAATTACTCTAGAGTAATCCCACCTTGGAGCTGTAATCTGGGTGGTACTGCAAGAGGTACCCCCTCTCCAACTGAAGGGGTCAAAGCAGGTGCACAAGCGCTGTGGGAGGTAGAAGGACTCTCCTCCCTCTATAGAGCAGAGCCAGACCACCAATGGGGACTTAATGATATACCTTTTAATGAGAGAACAATACTGGGAACATAACCAGTATAAACCAGGGGGTATAGGGGACACTACAGTGCAGGGGGGGCAGGATTCAACAAAGCCTAGGCACTTACAATCATAGACATATTCATCCAGT